CAATTTCTTATTCTGTGGGATAATGCCAATTACTCATCGATTATGAGACATGTCATCTGTTATTTGTAACCCAAACGCTCTACTTGATCTAGGCTTGAAAACCCAAGCTACCTCCAATAAAGGAATTATTGGAAGTTTCCAGACAAAATATAAAACATCATTACATTTAAATTTCAGATGAACAGTGAATACATTTTTTTTTTTTTTTTTTTTTTTGAGACGGAGTCTCGCTCTGTCGCCCGGCCGGATCTCAGCTCACTGCAAGCTCCGCCTCCCGGGTTTACGCCATTCTCCTGCCTCAGCCTCCCGAGTAGCTGGGACTACAGGCACCGCCACCTCGCCCGGCTAATTTTTTGTATTTTTAGTAGAGATGGGGTTTCACGGTGTTAGCCAGGATGGTCTCGATCTCCTGACCTCATGATCCACCCGTCTCGGCCTCCCAAAGTGCTGGGATTACAGGCTTGAGCCACCGCGCCCGGCCGTGAATACATTTTTAGTGTAAGTATGCCCCATGTATGGCAGAGGATTGATTCATATAAAAATTACTTGTGTTTATTTGGTATTCAAATGTAACTACATTTCTCACATTTTTATTTGCTAAATCTTGTAACCCAGTATTAGAACAGGTATGAATGTATATATAGTAACTGAAAATGAGTATTTGTACAGGCTGCATTAGATTCGACTCCCAATACGTGAGTGAAACTGAGAATGTATCATTTAAGATTTGTCATTTTGAGAGTAATAATGTCACATTTGTTTTACATATATAAGTATTACAAATGGGATTTTTCTTTTTTGGCTATGACCTCAAAAGCAAAGACAACAAAAGCAAAAGTAGACAAAGGGGAGTGCATCAAACTCAAAACCCTTCTCCACAACAAGAAAACAATCAGCAGAACGAAGAGACAACTTACAAAACAGGAGAAAATATTTGAAAATTATACGTCTAATAAGAGGTTAATATCCAAACTATTTAAGAAACTCAAGGCTGGGCACGGTGGCTCACGCCTGCAATCCCAGCACTTTGGGAGGCCGAAGAGGGTGGATCATGAGGTCAGGAGATCAAGACCATCCTGGCTAACACGGTGAAACCCCATCTCTACTAAAAATACAAAAAATTAGCTGGGCATGGTGGCAGGCGCCTGGTCCCAGCTACTTGAGAGGCCGAGGCAGGAGAATGGCATGAACCTGGGAGGTGGAGCTTGCAGTGAGCCGAGATCGCGCCGCTGCACTCCAGCCTGGGCAACAGAGCGAGACTCCATCTCGAAAAAATAACTAAAATAAATAAATTAATTAATTAATTAACAAACAAACAAATTCAACTCCACTAAAGGAAAACAAATAACCAGATTTTAATATTAGCTAGGGACCTGAATAGACATTCTCAAAAGAAGACATACAAATGGCCAAAAGGTATATGAAAAAAATGTTCAGCCTCACTAATCAGTCGGGAAATGCAAATAAAAACCACAATGAGGTATCATCTCACACCTGTCAGAATGGCTATTATAAAAAAAAAAAAAAGATAACTATTCGTAAGGATATGGAGAAAAGGGAGCCCCTGTACACTGTTGTTGAGAAGGTAAATTAGTATTGCCATTATAGAACACAGATGAAGTTTCCTCAAAAAAACTAAAAATAGGCCTGGTGTGGTAGCTCACGCCTGTAATCTCAGCACTTTGGGAGGCCAAGGTGGGAGGACTGCTTGAGCCCAGGAGTCTGAGACCAGCTTGGGCAATATAGTGAGACCTTGTCGTTACAAAATTAAAAAAAATTAGCCGGGTATGGTGGCACACACTGTAGTCCTAGCTACCTGGGAGGCTGAACCCAGGAGGTTGTGGCTGCAGTGAGCCATGATCATGCCGTTGCACTCCAGCCTGGGTGGCAAAAAAAAAAAAAACTAACCTAAAGTAAAAATAGGGCTACCATTATGGTCCAGCAATCCCAGTTCTGGGTGTATATGTAAAGAAAATGAAATCAGTATGTCGAAGAGATGTGTGCACACCCGTGTTCACTGTGGCAGTCTTCACAACAGCCAAGACTTGGAATTCACCTAAAAGTCCCTCTATGATTCAAAGGATAAGAAAAATGTGGTATAGCCCCACGTGGTGGCTAATGCCTATAATCCCAGAACTTTGGGAGGCCAAGGAGAACAGCTTGAGCCCAAGAGTTTGAGACCAACCTGGGAAATATGGTGAGGGCTGGTCTCGACAAACTATTTTTTAAAAGTAGCCAAGTGTGCCGAGACGGGCGGATCACGAGGTCAGGAGATCGAGACCAACCTGGCTAACATGGTGAAACCCCGTCTCTACTAAAAAAAATACAAAAACTAGCCGGGCGAGGTGGCGGGCGCCTGTAGTCCCAGCTACTCGGGAGGCTGAGGCAGGAGAATGGCGTGAACCCGGGAGGCGGAGCTTGCAGTGAGCTGAGATCCGGCCACTGCACTCCAGCCCGGGCGACAGAGCGAGACTCCGTCTCAAAAAAAAAAAAAAAAAAAAAGTAGCCAAGTGTGGTGCTGCATGCCTGCAGTCCCAGCTACTGGGGAGGCTGAGGTGGGAGGATTGCTTGAGACTGGGAGGCGGAGGTTGCAATGAGCCGAGATTGAGCCACTGTACTCCAACTTGGGCAACAGAATGAGACCCTGTCTCAAAAAAAAAGAAAGAAAGAAAACGTGGTATGTATGAGTATATACAGACTTATATATACACATATACAATGAAACACTATTCGGCCTTAAAAAAATAGAACATCCTATCATTTGTGATAATATGGAAAACCTGGAAGCCATTATGCTAAGTGAGAGAAGCCAGGCACAGAAAGACGAATTCAGCATGATCTCACTTATGTGTGAAAACTAAAATAGCGGAACTCATAGCAGAGAGTAGAATGGTGAGGGCTGGTTGGCTGGGGAGATGTTGGTAAAAGGGCACAAATGTCCGTTAGGCAGTTTGGAAGCTCTATAGTGCGCAGCACAGCGACTACAGGTGATGGTGATGTATCGTGTACTTGAGCATCGCTAAGAGAGTAGATCTTCAGTGTTTTCATCTGCGTGTGTGTGTGTGTGTATAGTAAGATATATGTGTGTATATATATATGGTGATACATGAGTTAATTCGCTTCATCGAGCCCTTTCACAGTGTACACATATGTCACGGCATCATACTGTACACCATAAATACACACAATTTTTATTTTTCAATGATTCCTTCATGAAGCTGGGGTTTGGGGAATGGGATTCTTTTTCCCCCAGTTTCAGCCCGGGCCTCAAGATAATGAGTGTCAGCTACAACCACATTCCATGCAAGGTGCAGAGCCTACGAGGGACTTTTAAAGGAAGTGGTAAAAATTCAATTCCATGACTCTTGCCCCTCCGCCAACCTTCTTAGCAAAAGGTACAAATTCACATGTACCCTTAGGTCAGCATAAACTGGAGGAAGAGAAACATGCGATGAAGTTTAGTCCTTTCTCGTGTGGGGCCAGGCACGTTAGTTTCTGAGATGAGGTCTCTACTACTTCAATAAGTGACCAGAGGACTTTGCACAATTCAGGAGTGGCTGTGAAAGTTATGAGGACCAGCAGAAGATTTCATCCAAGGTGGCAGGAGAGAAAGAGCTCACAGAGCAGAGTGAGAATGTTTGTGTGTGTCACAGCGTGTCCAACTCATTCCACGTGGTAGAGTCTGTTCCTTAAATAGCAGGCACTGGTCTAAGCCCTTTAGAAATCTGAGTGTACTTAATCCTCTTACCAGTGCAGTGAGATTTATATTATTATTTCCATTTTACTGATAAGGAAACCTACGCAAGTATAATAAACTCTGTGGAGGTTACCTAAGATTACACATCTAGTGTGAAATAATGACAAGACTTGAACTCATACACTCTGGCCCGAGGGCCACTTGTAATCACATGCTAAACAGCCTCTTATGTGAAGTGGAGCAAATGCAACCACAGTTACGTGAAAGGCTCTAGACTTTTAATTTAATTTAATTTAATTTAATTTAATTTTAGACACAGTCTCACTCTGTTGCCCAGGTGGGAGTGCACTGGTGCGATCTCAGCTCACTGTAACCTCCACTTCCCAGATTCAAGCAATTCTCCTGCCTCAGCCTCCCAAGTAGCCGGGATGACAGGTGCCTGCCAACACACCCTGATAATTTTTGTATTTTTAGTAGAGAGGGGGCTTCACCATGTTGGCCAGGCTGGTCTGGAACTCCTGACTTCAGTGATCCACCCACCCCGGCCTCCCAAAGTGCTGGGATTATAGGTGTGAGCCACCGTGCCTGGCTACTCTTTAATACATCCATCGTCATTATCATCATCACCACCATCTAAATTCATTCAAGGGTTCTTTATCTCCATTGAACATGTCCTATACTTCGCACTGTTTTGTATCATGGGAATGGATGGTGTTTTGAAACAATAGGGCAAAATAGCAATGATCACTTATAGAGTGTAAAATATATACTTGTACTAAATCCTTCACTTATTTAATCCTCTCAACAAAGCCATGAGTTACTTCTTTCAAAGATAAGGGAACTATTAATACAGTTAAGAGAGAATAAATTATCCACATCTAGTAAGAAAAAGATTTATGTGGCCGGGCGCTGTGGCTCACGCCTGTAATCCCAGCACTTTGGGAGGCCCAGGTGGGCAGATCATCTAAGGTCAGGAGTTCCAGACCAGCCTGGCCAACACGGCAAAGTCCGTCTTTACAAAAAGTACAAAAATTAGCCGGGTGTGGTGGCACACATGCCTGTAATCCCAGCTACTCAGGAGACTGAGGCAGGAAAATAGCTTGAACTCAGGAGGCAGAGGCTGCAGTGAGCTGAGATCACGCCACTGCACTCTAGCCTGGACGACAAGAGCAAGACTTTGTCTAAAAAAAAGAAAAAAGAAAAAGATGTATGTCCAGATCTCTCAGATCTGCTGCCTGGCCCTTGACTACCGTGGCATTCGGCTCCCCCGACAGCTTCCTTTATCCAAGGAGAGAGCTGGACTCATGGAGTCAGCCCGGGCGAGAGCAAACTCCTTGGGGCACGGCAGCGACTGCTCGCGCTCTTTCAAGTTCCCGCCTTTTCCCTTGAATTTATTGGGGGATTAGATATAAATATTTGTAATTTGTAGTGCAAATCGTCTTTACTTTGCTTCCTACAAAATACTTAAATCAAAATGAGATTGTCAGGGAGTGCACAAAACAGGTGTGGTCACCCACCTTTCTAATGTTTAGACAGTGTTAAAGAGGTCTGCCAATTCAGGAAATGATCTCGTGGTTACCAGGCAGCCAGTGTACCCCTCCTGATGGATTGTGGGTCGGGAAGAGCACAAGTGTTTTGTAACTATGGAAACAAACTGAGTTTGTCAAGCCAGAGAGCAACCCTCCAGCATCCAGATTACCCTTCGAAGACGGCAAAGAAAAGGAGAGCTCTGAAATCACTCAACTCATAGGAGCTGGTTCTATAATTTTTAGACTTTAATTAAATCAATTATTAAAGCTTTTCTTAATGCCTTGCTGAGATATTCAGGCTCTGGCTGCCTCAGGAGAGAGGAAGCGGTTGAATGCACAGAGGTGGCTAATAAGGTTGGTCACTGGCCCCTGAGGGACGCCAGGCAGTAAGGAAGGTTCTCCCTCCCACACCCTTCCCAGTGTCACCTTCACTCCTTGTGTCTCTTCCAGAGGGGATACGACATTCCAGAATCCCGCAGGAAAGATTCTGCCATCTCCACAGCTGCCCCCACTGCAGTCCCCCCTACCGCTGGAGAAGATGCCCCCACTAACTGGGGTGTGTCGAGCTAGTGGACACATCATTGAGCAGGGTGAGGCCAGAGGGCATTCCTAGAAAAGGGAATATTTCTCTGTCTTAGTGATCTGCCTGGATCAGGAGTTTGGGATCATTGGCAAGTTGAACAGGTCCTGTGGATCCTTTCTAGCCTCTGTGTGCCCTAGGGAAGTGGGGCTGGTTCACATCTCCCTGTGGCTGTATTCAGAAATAACTGGGGAATAGCACACCGTGTATTGGCTCGTCCAGAGTCCACGGTGAGGGGCTGTGGCCATACCTGCCGCCTTGTTGACCTTGGTTTGCAGGATGGACTGTGTCATTAAGATCCGCCCACGGCCTCATCCTGCGCTGGCCATGGCGACGCGTCCAGTAAGGTAAGGAGTTTGCTGCAACAGGTAGTTTCTTCAGAGCACATCATCAGGTGACTTGGATGAACTGGCTTGGGTGTGGGGGGTCCGGAATGACAATGTCTCTGTCAAGGGCCCTGGTTCCATGCTGAGGACGTCTCTGCAAACATGTGGGAGGGAAACAGAGAGGATGGGGCAGGACAGCACACACCCACCTTTCCTCCAGGCATCTGTCTGGCTCCGCACGTCTTCCTCATGGGTGATGGCAGCCAGACCTGACCTGGGCTCCTTCTGAAGACGCAGCAGAGCTTTGATTGCATGAGTGCAGCTGGGGAAAGAGCCCATAATGCAGCAATTATTGTTCATTTGTTGCTATGGTATTTCTGTGGCCTGTTTGGATCCATGAATGTCTTGATTATTTTCAATTCCCATTTATAGAACATTCTGTTCATCTCAAAGTGCTTTGAGACCATCTTCATAGGATACTCCCTGTAACAGACACAAGTTAGTAATGGCATTGCTATTTTACAAATGAACACATTGAAGTGGGGTGTTGTTTTAACAACTAAAATCAGGGAAAGTGAAAGAGAAGACATTTGATAAATGACATTATCATTCCAATAAAGGAAACTTGGCTTTAGGTTAAATTATATTTGACATAAATTGATGTTTTGACATCAACGGATATCACTGAGGCTTTGACATCTAGTTGGTGTCACAGCTGGGAGAAATAATATTTGAGGAACAGGTTACCGTGAAAGGCAGGCCTAATGAAGCAGAAAGAGGAGATTGGCAAAAACTCTGGCTTTCAAATCTTTGGTTTCCAAAGAAACTATATAGAAAATTAACGAGTTCACAGCTCAATCTTCTATGTATTGGAGCCTATATTCACAGAATGTTGACAACTTTTGGGTAATAGTGTATGATAACTGTTATGTGTGTATAATATTAAGATAATATAATTGTGTAATTAAAAGAAAAAAATCCTCCTATGAGTAAATACATCATGGGATATTCATGTAATGGAATTCTATAGGATAGTGAAAATGAATGACATTCAGCTGAAAATGTCAGCACCCATGGATGACTTCCCAAATATAAACTTGATCCCAAAACTGGATTATCTACAATATAATGCCACTTATCTTAAATAGAAACTTCAAATATATGCAAGATTTAGCAACATATGCTTTAAGGATACATAGTTATATAGGAAAATGAGGAAGGAAATTAAGTCAATTATGAACACAACATTAGACGATGGTGGCTCTGGGAGGAAGGAGAAGGAATGGTGTCAGGAAGGCCCAGTCCTTAGGGTCTTCAGCAACACTGACACAGCTCTAAGGCCTGTGCTGAGTGGCTGACTGGGGCCTGCTTGTAATAGTATACTTTGTATCTCATGTGTGCTTTTTAATATTTTCTTTTGTGTTTACAAGCCACAGGAATGCTCACTGGCTTGCTTTTAGTGGTTCTCCAACTACAAACCTTGATTTGTTTCTATGGATCATGTAGAGAGTTGTCCTAAGCACTTGCACCTGCTAAGCAGGGATTTAATTAGGGCTATCCATGACTTCCATTTTTATAGAAAATAATTCGTGTGGGTCAGAGGACATGTTCGCCACAGTTTTGTGTTATGGGATTATAAGTGATTTCAAACCCCAAAGATTATCCTAGAATAATAATGAGTATAAATAAGCCCAGTGGCTGAATTCTCAAATATGTGTCGTAAAAAAGCAAATGTGAACCAGAGTGATGACGTTTTAAAAAAATTTCAACAGATGTGTTGGTAAAATCATACGAAATAAAATAGATGATCTACTTTCACCTCCTCCTTCATACGACTTTCCTAGAACACGAGATCATATTAGGAGAGTATCCTACAATTTCCCTTCTGCTCTGATCTACAGAAAGGAACTGAGGCAGCGGGAGACTTATTTAAAAATCACAAGAGACTTAGTGCCAACAGGGTCTGAGTCTAAGCCTTTCAACTCACAAGAAAATGGCCAGCCCACCCTACTACCCCTACTCTGCCCTCTCTTCTCCTTCGATACACACTACTGAGAGGAGGTATTACACCAAGTCTAGAGATCCATTCCAGTACAAGAAGCACTGACTAGAGAGGCAAGAGATCCATATTTTGGTTCTAAATCTATTATCTACAATCAAAGTCACTTAATATATAAGAACCTTAGCCTGGGTAACATGGCAAGACTTCATCTATACAAAAAAATGAAAAAAAAATTTGCCACATGTGGTGATGTGCACCTATAATCCCAGCTACTAGGGAGGCTGAGGTGGGAGGACTGCTTGAGCCCGGGAGGTTGAGACTGCAGTGAGCCGTGTTTGTACCACTGCACTCCAGCCTGGGCAACAGAGCAAGACTCTGTTTCAAAGAAAAAATGCAATTATCCTGCCTCAGCCTCCCAAGTAGCTGGGATTACAGGTGCCGGCCACTACACCCAGCTAATTTTTGTATTTTTAGTAGAGGGGGGGTTTCGCCATGTTGGCCAGGCTGGTGTGGAACTCCTGACCTCAGGTGATCTGCCCACTTTGGCCTCCCAAAGTGCTGGGATTACAGGTGTGAGCCACCGCTCCCGGCTAGAGTCTTTAATACATCCATCATCATTATCATCACTATCACCATCTAAATTCATTCAAGGATTTTTTATCTCCACCAAACACATCCTATGCTTTGCACTGTTTTCTATCATGGGAATGAATGGTGTTTTAAAACAATAGGGCGGCCGGGCGCGGTGGCTCAAGCCTGTAATCCCAGCACTTTGGGAGGCTGAGACAGGCGGATCACGAGGTCAGGAGATCGAGACCATCCTGGCTAACACGGTGAAACCTCGTCTCTACAAAAAACTAGCCGGGCGTGGCGGGTGCCTGTAATCCCAGCTACTCCGGAGGCGGAAGCAGGAGAATGGCGTGAACCCGGGAGGCGGAGCTTGCAGTGAGCCGAGATCCGGCCACTGCACTCCAGCCTGGGCGACAGAGCGGGACTCCGTCTCAAAACAAACACACAAACAAACAAACAAAAACAATAGGGCAAAATCTTTACTTGTGGGACAATACGTTTTAGACATTCTGGTGAGCAGGTAAAATTCCTGAACTAGGTTAGTACCTGTTGGCACTGTGTGTCTTTTAGTCCTAAACGAGCATAAAGATTTGTGTTAAAAATAAAATTTGATCTAATTTCAGCATAGAATGCAATGGCAGATGCTTGTTTGATTTTTTCTTCCAAGGTGCTCTTATTATTACCATTCTCTTTAAACTCTTCCAATATTACTTGGGTGGGGGGCACTTTATTATGTGCTAATTCTTCTATCAACACCTGACAGCTTTTTACCATCCAAGGGTAAGGCCTGGAGTAGGTACCCACAGCAACAGAACCACAGGATACAGTCTTTGTCTACGGAAGAATCTGGGATGCTAGGGGTTAAACAGCCTATCCCAACGCTTTAGAAAGAAGTGTTTTGCATCAGGAAGGTTTTACAGAGAACATCCTAGAAAAACATTTTAACCTCCTTCTTTGCTCCTGATACAATGGGCCAACACCAAACTTCTTTTTGTTGTGTCTTAGGAGGTAGAACACTGGATTAGCCACAGAAAACACATGGGCCTTTGCTCTGCAGCTTCCTCTCATGGTCTCAGCCCATGCACCAGAGCATTGGTACTTCCTGCCTTGGGTCTTGAATCTGTGGTGCAAAACCATTGTACTGGTCAGGGTTCTTGTTGCAACCAAAACAACTGCCTCTGACCATCTTAAGGACAAAACATTCCTTGGTAGGACACTGAATGGGACGAGGGTCACAGCACTAAGAACTCAGAAGGCTGCTAAGAACTCCAGAAATTCTGGAAGGTCAAGAAGCAGGAAGCAGCACAGCTCTCTCTTTGCACGAAAAGTTCGGCCAGGGTTCTAGTATTGGACAATACAGTCACTGTAAATGGATTCAAAGAATCACTTTGCTGTGGATGAGTCAGAGATCCATGTGGGAGCATCCTGTAGGGTAAGGACAGGTCCGGCTCCTGAGTTCAGACCACCAAGGAGCAGGGAGAGCGAGGATTTACTTGCATTTCAGCTTTGGTAGGGGAAGACCCAGCACTCCGTCCACTGATACACACCCTGGGGAGTCTGCCAGAATATAAAGGAATGACAAACACCCTTTGAAATCTATTCATCTGACTCTCTAGATTTACATATATAATTTTCTTTCCTGACATTCATTTCCACCCATAACAACAGTAACAAACTGGATCTGTTTGAGACAATGCCGTTCTCCTTATTTCAAACAAAAAATGTACTCACTCCCTCACCAGTGGGTGACAATAGTTACTGACTGCATCCATCCTCAATCCCGGATGTTCATTCATTCTCAAGTTCCACTTGCACTGTAGTTGTGTTATTCTGAAACCTATGAACTAAATTATCGTTACCTGTAAACAAACCGTATATATAATAGTGAGAGAGAAGAGAGAGGAGTCAAAGGAAAATTAATTAACTCATAAATATATACATGACACAGCAGGAAGGAAGTATCAGGAGAGGATACAGTCTGGATTTCTGCAGCTGTTCATGAGGCCAAAGCTAATATTTAAGACTTCTTTTTATTATCATGTTTATTTTGCTTTCAGTCAACACCTCAAATGGTCTGAAGTCTATATACACGAGGGCTTCCCAAATATTAATTCTTCGTAAATCTGAGAGCTTGTTGGTCCTGTCTGTAGAAGATGGTGTTAGTCAGAGTTCTCCAGAGAAAGAGAAATAGTAGGATGTGTATATGTAGTGTATCCATAAAGAGACTTATTTTAAGGAATTGGCTCATGCAGTTGTGGAGGTTGGCTAGTCCAAAATCTGCAGGTGGACTGGCAGGCTGGAGAGCTAAGGAAGAGCCAAGACTGCAGTTCAAGTCTGAAGACTGTCTACCACAGAATTCCTTTTTGCTCTGGACAGGTTAGGCTATTTTATTCAGTCCTTCAACTGATTAGATGAGATCCACCCACATTACAGAAGGCAATTTGCTTTCCTGAAAGTCCACCAATTTAAATGCTAATCTTATCTAAAACTATCCATACAGAAACATCCAGAATAATAGCTGCATGTTAATAAGGAGAGCACATCTGGAACAGCTGCTGCTGAAATCAGGACTCACAGTGTCCCATGAGAGTGAGAACTTACTCCCACAAGATGGTATTAATGTGTTAATGAGGGACCCACCCCCATGACTCAGACATTTTTCACTAGACCTCAGCTCTCAACACTGCCATATTGGGAATGAAATTTCATCATAAGTTTTGGTAAGAACAAACCATATCCAAATCCTAGTAGCATACAATTATTATAGTCTTATTCTTTTTTTTTTTCTGTGAAGTTGGTAGCAATGTCCCTGCTTCCATTCCTAATTTTAGTTATTTGAATCTTCTCATTGTTTTCTTAGTCAGACTAGCTAAAGGTTTGTCAATTTTGTAGATTTTTTTTTCAAAGAGCC